GACTAGTCCTTCGCGATGTCATTGACGAGTCTCAATGTACCGCTCTAGTCATACTATGATGATGAAACATCGCCTAGATATTTAGCCAGCGTGGAATACTTCCAGTACTAGATAAATGGTAGACGAATCTTCCACGGTTCCGTTTTTTGGATCGTGGAGAGTAGGATTGTACCGCAACTACTCTATCTCACTCTAAGTCTCCCGCGGGAGTTCAGATACGATCCCTTGATGATTGTCTCTCTCGTGATTAGTTTTTCATAGCTTCTAATCCTCTCATTAACTTTCATTCTCTCAACTCCAAAACACTCGAAAGATCTTTACACTAGCTTTTAGCTAGTGCATTTTGTTAACAAACACAATAGCTTTCAGCTACCTCAACCTATTCCTCACCTGAAGATTGCCAAGACGCATACACCAGCTTCGAGTCTAAGCTGCGTGACAAACCAATCCTTCCTCTCATCGACCTCGATGATGAATGCGAAATCGACGATTCTCGTCTACCACCTACAAACTTCGACCATTCCTAGCAGATGCTAACAGCGCCAATGTACACTTCAAGGTCCAAATCATCAATGATCTGAGACTCACGTCAGACCATCAAGTGGGCTGGACGTATGGAGAAGGTCTTCGTCGGGCTCGCATTGCTACGCCTGACGACAAACATAACTCCTCAGGGAGATGACTTTCTAGTCCGCCAAGAGCAGTTACGAATGCTACTGTGCGGCCATCGTGAAATACGTTGGAATGCCTTGCGCCAGATTGCAGTCAACGCGATTGCTCACGCGGACATACGTGGCGGTGAAGACGAAGCCACTTTCCAAGCACTTTCCAGGCTGCCTGGAACGGAGCAGTCCGCCTGCTTGACGACTCTGACATCTACGTTTGGTATAAATGCCTGTATCGAATCGTCTGTCCCTACAAGGCATGGAAAAGCAGAACGCTTCATGCGCCGCAAGATGCGTAAGCTGCTGATATGTCTACTCGGGCTTAATTCACAACTCAGTCGGATGACACCGATGAACTTCTCGTCTACTACCTTTTGGACCCAACCAACTTTGAACCATGACGAAGTCATTGACATTGTTTTTCATGGAATCCACGCTCGTGGGAAGAAGGTGGACGAACACGACTTCGACTGTTACTCAGCTCCTATCGGAGAAACAATTGGATCTGCGAACGCATGGAATCCTCCTGAAGCTTTGACAAGTGGTGATGCAAGCAAGCTCCTATGAAGAAGAAAACAGCAAGAAGTACAAGTCTACTCGCAACAACGAAAACTCTTCCAAGAACGAAGAAAGTGGTGCGACTACCACGATCCAGCACTCATCAACACTGCTGACTGCATGAACCCTAAGAAGCTCAAGGCAAGTCTCGTCCTCGTCTGACACCGATAACAAGCCAGACGTCAACAACAAGACTTGAAAACGCAAGTCCGACGACGCAAGACCACACAAAAGGAACTCTCTGTCCTCTGAAGAAGGTTTCTACGTGTGTCAAGGCTGATGCCAAGAAGAAAGCGAATGAAACCATGTTGCCAAGCGCCAAGCTTGACAACTTCCAACACGAGGACGACCTGTTCGGACCAATCAACATGATGGACAGAAATGGCTGTGTCGACAAGGCGCTTTGCGAATTCGACTTCAATCAATTCGGTATGAGAGATCTGACGTCTGAGGGTTAGGCCAGGATGATGATTCAACGGAACCATGTTCCGATTTCTCATACCTAAGTGATGAATATATCTCACTAAATAGTAAACAAGATTTGTTTGCAACTAACGAAGTCTACGGCAAATTAGATAATTGCCTAGTAACTACTCAACTAGACACTGACGATCCGTTCAGCATCGTTAACTACTTCCATGGCCAATCAACTATCAAACTCGCACGACAAGAGACCTTGAACCATCGTCTTGTTAGAATTAACAGACGGGTGAAAGGGAAACGAAAACCTTACACTCTGTTGCTACTGGATACAGAAGCACCGGAACTTTAATCTCAATCTTGCGAGGGAGGTTTACTCATTGAGAACAGGGGCGTCCAAACACCACGGTACTGGCTTCTATGAAGGAATGAAACCCCACGAAGTGTAAGGGCACACTCGCGATTCCTGAGTTCCGATGATGGAATTATAATGGAATTTACAGACGTCACCAAGAACTTGGGGCGCAAGACGTGATCATAGGTCAAGACACTCTCTGTGACCTAAGAATCAAGTTTGATTTCACTACCATGTCATTGGGTGGAACCATGCATTTTCCCGGCGAAAGAGAGCAAATACCAATAGAAAGGAGACTTCTCCATTTCCGATCTGAGCTGTCAGCAGCGACAAGCAGATATTCTCAAGAAGATTCTGATACGACATAGAACAAAAAGACTTAAGGCAGATATGCAGAGTCGAGATCAGTTAATTAAGGGAGAGCAAGAACTGCCTCATGCCTTTTCACCAAGGTGCTTCGACCCAGTCAGGATACTTTGGGAGAGTTGCGAATGACGACTACAAGTAGAACTTCGTCCTGACGTTAATCCTATTACACTAGGGCTACCCTACTTCCACGGGTCCATACCAACACTCTTTAAAGGAGTGTTGAACGTCCTGCGAGACAGGAGACTCAAGAAAGTGAAACGTTCCAAGTGGGCGGCACCACTTTATTCACTTTCCAGAAAGAGGATCTGCACATTCATCTCGGATTTTCGGGAACCAACAAACGATCAAGCGCGAAGCCTTATCCTATCCCAAAATACAGACATGCTCTTGAACCCGGATGGATTCAAGTGCGCTACCAGCCTCTGACCTGAACACGGACACTACCACATCGGAGCTGTCACCTCACTCGAAGCAACACTATACCATGCACTCCCGAAGGGAAAGCAACGAGTACCAGGGTTGCCAATGGCCTATGTGATAGTCCCGACTCTTCCAAAGAAGATGAAAGCACGCATGCATGACTTAGAAAATGTCCGTGCATACGTTGATGATCAACTCATCCTAACGGACGCGATCTCGCAGATCGCGTGAACAGTAGGATGACCTTTCCCAAAGACTCCAAGAGTTGGGATTGAAATCAACTACCAAGGCTTCCTCGATAGGAAAACTGGAGTATCTAGACATTGGACTTCTCGAGAAGGAGCCAACTCTTAACTAAAAAGAAACAGATGCGATCAGCCATCGCTCTTCCTACCAACATGAAGGAACCTCGCAGATTCATTGACCAATGAACTACCAAGGGCTGCTCCAAGACAGCAGACGAGTAACCATCGTTCTGAACCAGAGTAGTTACCAGCATTCATGACGCGTCGTCATGGACAGAGAACGTGATTCCCGCGTAGAGATCGAGAAGACTCTCCGGGATGACATGGACTTCGTCGCAAGTTCACGCGCGTCAATCGTGACAAGCTTCACCACGTCCGTTTCAAAGCAAATGGAAGATACATTAAGGAAGTCGCCACGACTTATTCAGAAAAACACCGATAGGAGAACACGGCACGTGGCCCTCGTCAACACCATGTCAACGACACTATGATGATTCATCAGTATCAGAACCGTTAACTAGCCACGCACAAAGGTCCTTACCACACAGACCGGTCAATAACAATGCACTGTACGGCTCCCGACATACTAACGCCAATAGCGGCACAGTCTACCAGACTAGGAACATAAGGTATTTACACCCATACAAGCCTGATCCCCTTGTAGGATTGCCATCGTGCGACACAATGTCTACATCCAATCTCCGGAGAGTGCCCGCACTTAAATCATATGTTCTCCTTGTCCGACTGATGTCGTGCCTTCCGTGACCCTTGTCAGGGGGCGAATGCAATACACGGCTCTTAGCCAATGCAACACACGGCTCCTAGCCTTATTCGCGACTCGATCCTAGATAGGTTTGAGTTCGACTCATGACGTAGTCCTTCGCGAATAGTCATTGGAGACAGAATTCTCAATGACCGCTCTAGTCATACTAGGTTGATGATGAAACATCGCTCTAGATATATTTAGCCAGGTGGAGTACTTCCACGCTACTAGATAAATGCTAGACGAATCTTCCACGCGTTCCGTTTTGATCGTGGAGCGAGTAGGATTGACCGCAACCTACTCTATCACTTCTACAGTCTCCCGCGGGTTCAGATCTACGATCCTTGATTGTGGATCTCTCTCGTTGATTAGTTTTCATAGCTTTCAATCTCTCTATAACTTTCATTTTCATTCTCTCAAACTCAAAACACTCGAAAGATCTTTACACTAGCTTTTAGCGTAGTGCAGTACCCTTTCGAAGTATCTTAAAACAAGGGTAGGAAGCAAAAATGTGTTATCTTAAACATGGGTGTGCGATGGACGTCATTCGATTCGATTTGACTCATTCGATTCGATCGCTGATGTCAGTACGTGCAAACGTGTAGAGGGCTACATATGTATTGCACCTAGGCTTCCTACACGGCTGTAGAAGCCTACGTGCAATGTACATACCTATTGCACGTAGGCTTTCTACAGCCGTGTAGGATTTGTACTTGCACGCTACAGAGGTAGTATAATACTGTATTTGCTATAGTAATCATGACTAATCGGTCGGACAGCTTCGTGGTCAAATGACCTCATTTAACACCCGATAAAGCACTGTCCCATTCAAAACCCACTTAATCTTGTACCGGTACATGTATGCATATTCCAAAGCCGTCTACTCGGGCGAAAAAGTTGAGAATTTTGAAAAAGGTGATAACTCCTCAGAATCAGCAGCAGGATTTTTGATGATTTGGGTTAGGGTGATTGTAGAATTCTCAACTTGATCTTCAGATTTGTGTAGGAGCCAGTAGGTTTGAGAATTCTCAACTTTTTCGCCGGAGTAGCCGTCTTCAAATCCTATCCAAGTCTGAATCCCCCTAGCAGCACAGCGCAAAACTACGCCAGCTGTTCCCCTACTCTAAACTCTACGAGCTAGCTAGCCAGAAGAAAAGACTAACAGAGACACAGACTGGGACTCGACTCAACTCTTTGTGCTTCGGATGAAGGGACGAAGGGACCGTGGAACAACCACCAGGCAAGCACCCGCCAAGATTGCTCCACTCAAGATTGGAGACATGATCTTGACCGCCAACAACCGGTACCAACCAGTCTATGCCTTTGCTCACAATGATGCCACCACTAATACCAAATTCCTCCAAATCCACACAAGTTGCAACAACAAGAAACCATTGGAAGTCACTGGTCAGCATTTGGTCTATGTGCAGGGCAAGGATGCCCCTGTCATAGCCAAATCAATCAAGGTTGGTGATAATTTCACCCGAGCTGATGGACATGGACAAGGAGGAGCAGCCATTGTCACCAAGATTGAGACTGTTGAGTGCCAGGGAATCTATGCTCCCCAGGGAATCTATGCTCCCCTGACTCAGAATGGCACCCTTGTGGTGGATGGCATTGCGTCCTCTTGTTACATTTCCCTCCAGCCCAATGGCGATCCCCAAATGATGGAACTAAACGGCTACTCTACGTTGCCCATGATGTCTCACCACAGTGTTGCTCACATGCTCATGACTCTGCCTCGTTTGGTTTGCATGGGTGGGATCAACCCCAAATTGTGCCAGGAATACAATAACGACGGTGTGGCTCATTTTGTGCAGATGGCGTTTGATTTGTCCGACTGGTTCCATGCCCAGCATTGGGTGGTTCAGTTGTTCCTTTTGGCTCTCTACTTGGTGGTCTTGTCCCCTCTATGCCTTGGAGCTCTTGTTTGGTGCAAAGCTGGCTGCTGCTATGGTGGTTGGTGGATTGGTCTTTGTTGGTTCTGTCAGTGGAAATAATGCTCCTGCTGTGGACCCAGTTGACTTGAAGAAGCAAAGCAGCTTGAAGCGGCCACAACCTGTCCCTAAAAGTTGCTATATGGAGTTATCTGACACAACTACAACAATCGCGCAACTACTAGCTATAGTTAGCTAGAATACAGGCAATATATTTACAAAATTGTTATCATCGGCCAAACAACGAAATAGTTAGGAGTCAACAAGTTGCTTTAGCACACGGCCGTGTTGCCAGGAATCAATCCCCACCATGCAGAAAGCCATTGGCAACGATTTAGCCGCGCCATGGGCACAAAGGGACGACTCCCCGACCAAAACGCTATGTAGCCAGCGACACGCATGCTCCAGGTAGCGGGTGCATTGGAAAAGGATGCAGTCATGCTTCGTGCAAGCAACCATTTTCCTCTCCAACTGCCCGTAAACTCACATAGAGAACCTTACGATATAACTCATGTAGCCGTCTTGGTTTGTGCCATGCAGTGTATCGGTGCTATCCTGGTTCTTCCTTTGAAAAAGCTACGGTATTCGGAGTGTCGTTTAGCTACCTACTGCTGGACCTACATGTACTAACTTTGGAATCGAAACCTATTCGGGGAACTTCTCTGTTGTATCAATGCATTGCCAAGACAGGAATGCAGCATTCAATGAAACGAATCCCTACTCGGTCCCAGCCAACGATCACTCGATTGTGACTCCAGAGGGTCAAGATGATCGATCGGTCACGGTGGTCCTTCGCGAAGTATAATATCGTTTCCTAAGAGTTTCTCCAGATCCTGTTGGTGCAGAGAACTGCCTGTCTGATGGATATCGTGTTGCACAAGGCAGAATGACAGAACGTAACGTAGTAACAAGGGAAGTGCCAAACTGTCGTCTGTGTGACCTAGCTTCTTGAATTCCTCTTACTGGACAACACCTCGAGCACTCTTGCCCGGCACACTGCTTGGCCATATCATTGGACCTGTCTGGTGTATTTTCGACGGGCAGGAATGTCTAGTATAGTGAATAGATGGGTTGTTGCGGACTCGTGACCCTCCCTTCATGACACGCCATTCCAATAAAAGTGCACGTAAATGGCATCTTTTGTCTTGATCATGGACCATGAACCACCGATCGATTGTGACACGACAGTGCAAACTCGTCGTGGTCGTCATATCCAATGCGACAGTTGATGGGTGCTGCCATGCAATAATTTCGATTGGTTTCGTGAACACTTGGTGGCAACAAGTTGCTCTTGACATGCACGGCAAAGAGACCATCGGTGGATTGATAGATTGATGGGGCTTCTCGTCCCTTGCTTTGCGCCTTGACAATTTCGTTGGCATTGACACCAATCCCGCTGCGTTTGTTGGGCTGCGTATAGGACCATACGATGGGTTGATCTTTGGGTATTTCCGAATAGTTGGCGCTCTTGACGAGACCCCGACGAGAAAAGTATGCCCCCATGTGCAGTGGAAAGCCCGGAAACCCGGAAATCTCCGGCACGAGATAGCCCGTCTGGTTGTTGCATTGCGTCGTGAATTGGTCGTCCTTGTTGGATGATGTCACCATCAAGTCCGAGTAGGTCTTGGCTAGGGCATACCACAATCCCGGTTGATCTCCATGGATCCACTTGTACTTGCGACAACCGTCGAGACCTTGAAAGTTGCCCTTGGGACACAACCCTTGTGTCAAAAAGTTCATCCAGTTGTGTAGGAGACTCCTTCCAAAGTGCGAATTTCGAATCATGACGGTGAAACTTGAGAATACGAATTGTCGGCGATTGTCATCATGATGTCCATCATCTGGAACAATGACGTGCACATTGTTGAGTCGATGCAGTTGCAGTTCGGCCAATATGGATTCCAATGGCACGGCCAAGTCAGTAAAAATGTAGTCCATGTCGGTCCACAGGATCCAGTCATAGTTTTCGTCAGAGTCCAAAAGTGCCAGTAACTGTGGAACACGATGCAAATGGCCCCAATCCAATGCGCACTGAGGAGCATCCGGCGAGGTATCGTGGCGAGACCGAATGTGATCCGGGAACGCCCAAGTTTGATTGAAAATGAAGTCGTAGCCCCAAAAGTCTGCGTAGCATGCTTTGTTGATCAAGTGAGGATAAAAGGAAGGATCGAGCTTCTCGTTAGCCCGTTCCTGTTTCGTCACGTAGTTGGACAGAATCGCAATGCGGGGTCGTTTGTTGTCATTGTTTTTATGTTTTGTCGAAGATGATAGTGGCGAGGACGATGGTGGAGACTGAGAAGACGTCTTCAACATTAGGTGTCTCCCCTGAGTAGCAATGATCACCAACGTTTGTCGGGAAAACGATACCAGCACTGCACCCACGACCACAATGCCAATGACGGCTCGATACACCGACTTTCCTTTTTGCTCCTTCTTCGTGCTAACGTTTTTGGCATGGTGATTAGACTTGGGCATCTTGGTTAGTTAGTTTACATGTAGTAGCATGGAGCTGCCAGTGTTAGTCCTCGTGCCCGCTACTGTACCGTATGGTAGTACGACAATCACTACAACATGTTGCTGTCAAACACAAATAGTGGGGAATGGCATTGCACGGTGCGGGAGTTGAGATGGGAAAAATTCAAATGGGGCTGGCGTTTGGCCGATGCAATACTAGCTACGTACCATGGTACAGTACTGTAGCGCACAGTCGTATGACGTATGACGTATGACCATACTGGTATGGTACTGCTCTGTTGTGGTGCGCGTACTTCTACCACTAGGTACCTGGTAGCGAGTACCACGACTACGCTTTTCTGCGGAAACATGCTACAGTACTAAACTACGTGGTAGGAAACGTAACCGTACCGAGTAGAGAAAGATTGCCCGACTGTAGAAGATGTGAGGCCAACAAAACAAAGCCTTTTATTCACGGGACTTTCTTCCTTGTATCCTGGTTGGAATGACGCAATCACACCTCAAACAACAAATTCTATAGAGCCGAGTCGCACAACAAAAAGCCAATGACAGTTTCCTCCAGTGGTGACTGGGGCGGTCACCACTGAAAGCAGGCCTTAGCTAGACTAGACGGACACCGCAGACCAACGCTGCAAGCAAAAGATCAGTGTTGACTCGACTCTACTTTTTAGTACGACTAGTCTACGTCTGCTTTCTGCGGAAAAAATGCTAGTTTGTACGCAACCATACCACTGGAGAACGCAATAGCCTGACTAACTAGCAAGCGCGAGGACACCCACGGGATGAATTGCGACTTACCCGGACATGACCCCGTCGCTCTCAACGTAGCAGAGCGATCAAGAGCACTGCTCCGCTTCTCCGGCCACAAAAACATGTCCCTCGACCCACAACAACTCCAACAAATCATCTCCTTCGCGATGGACAACTGGACCACTGCCACCTACATCAGCAATGAGCTGCGGCCAAGATACCCCATGGAGGCCACTGGGACAATCGGCACCTCGATTGATCATTCCACACGAAGTACTGCCAATGGTGGACACGATCCTCCCATATGCTGCAAAAGGCAACAACGCAACGCCACACAAAACCTCTTACTCATTCAAGTACTGGAGCAAAGTCAAGGAGAGACTGCAATGATGATGGACATTCAAGAACCTTCAAATCCCATCATCGAAGCAAGAAATACGCCATCATACTCTAACTTTGCGGAAACATTGATGGATGTCATGTCTTCCAACCAGCAGCATCGGCAGACCCTAGGAGAACAGCTGTATGCAGTCAAAGAAGAAGTCACACGACCTCCTGGACCAGCCTCTGAGGTACTGGAAGAGATTCAACGGGAAGAAGTGCTACAAGAGATACTGAACTTGATTGGAAGACCTGCAGCACAAGTTAGGCAAGCATCTATCTATTGAATCAAGAAAGGATGGCTTCCTGTCAGATGTAGCTGGTGTCTTGAACAGGATAAGGATTGCGTTTATTATCGGTAACCCGCTTGTTTGCATAGTGTCTCTCGAGTGCAGCGAGATAAGATAGGGCAAACAAAAGTTGTCATGGCGTCTCGCTGCAGCAGGAAACGGAACCCGATACCCTGCAATACTCAGGGCAAACACAAAAAATAGTACGCTTCTTCGTGCTTACCGTATCTCTCACGGCCTATACGGAATATGCAATGTAGGTGAGAGCGGGGGTAGCGAGCGAAACACAAAGCCTCCGCACAATCACTGACCTGCTCCTCGCATGCATACGCACTTCTAGCAAGTAGTTGCTGCCAAAGATTCACCAAGATCATGGCAACCGGCCGTACTCGCAGATAGTGTCTGAAACAATCGATCAGGCCTCTCAGGTATGGGTGCAAACAATGTTTTTTTGCCGTTCCTCTCCAGGTCGAACTATTGGGGATGTTTCGCGACGCCATCCTCGTCTACATACCAGAGTTAACTATTTGTGTCACCAAGGGGCTCGCTCACCACCACAAAGCCAAGTTGACCACCAGGCTTCCCGCTACCGGATGGCCGATGGCTCACTGCTAGCTATGGCTGTCATACAAAGTTATAGTTTTCGTTCCTTGGCTTCAGAACCGCCGTCAAAGCTTTTAGCTGCCTGTGGCCAAACAACAAACCTGCCTGTTTTTCTTTCTGGTCGTCTATCATTGGCTAGACTAGACTAGTGGACTATTTAGGGTTACATTGAATCTGCGCGGACACTTTGGATTCTTGTCGACACTGTATCCAATGATGTTTTAGCTCAACCAGCAATGTGATGAATGCTGTACATGTATGTGTATTAATAGCGTTAACTAAAGGTACACAGGTACGTACACTGTACATCTGTGCATGTAAGTAGTGTTTCGACATATGAGGAAGAAAAGTGTTCTGCGCTACAAATAGTACTCGTACACGTACTTTGGAGTACTTCGAAAGAAGGAGTGACTGCTGGTCTGAGGTTGTGGGTAAAACTGGAGTAACTCGGCTCGGATTTCAGTACCAGTACTGAGTAACTCGCAGACTACATGCCTTCAGGTACGGTAGCGGTAAGATGTCTCATGCAAGTGTATCGGTACCGGTACGACACTGATCCTCATAGTGATGCTTGATTGGCCTGAAATCAATTGTCATCCTGAAGAAAAGCCGGCTGGATATCACCAGAGAACAGTGAACCCCGACGGGATTGCTTGAATTGGTCACGACAACCAGGTCTCGTGCTCGCTCACCAGTGTAGCATTTTTTGGTTCGCACGGGTTTGCCAACTTCAAGTACGACTTATGCATAGTGCCTCTCCTTTTCCAGTGATGGTTTGGGCCTACCAGTAGCTTGTACAAGGGCGAAAGCCGAATGATTCAATCCAGTGCCAAAATCTCACAGAAACTAACCGACCATGAACCTTTCTCAGCAGACAACAATGATTGATGCAACATGCATCGGTATGGGCAATGAACTGTTTTCACCACAGCCCATGGAAGACATTGGAGGCAGGGGTATCTTCCACCCCACTTTGGCGGAAGATTCAACTGTTCCAAGCGACGGACTACTATTCGAACCATTCCAACTTCCCCCCCTCCGCTGCCTCAATCGATGCCGTCAACCTTTGCTCATCCAGTTATTGAGCCAAGGGCAAAGAGACACAACCCTGCTGGGGCATCGATCCCCGCGAAACGAAGACACTCGTCCGACCACTGCGGCTCGTCAGACCAGCAGTGCTACCGGAGCTACTACCGCTACGACCACGGCTGCCACAAATGCTAGTCCCACGTACCAAACAACGGCTACTAGGCCAAGCACTCTCGTACAATTGGGAAGTACTAATAACCGCGTAAATCGACTGGTGGATGAAATCTGGGTCAACCATCAGCAACAACTTCAGTTGATGGCAGAGCTTCAATACGCCCTGAAAGAAGAGACAACCCCACATCCCGAAGGATCGTCTGAGGTTCTGGAGCAGTTGCGTGTCTTGCGGGAACGGGAAGAGACAAAGCAACAGATACTGCAATTGCTACCACAAATGCTACCACAAATGCCACCACCTGCGACCGCTCCTGCCATGAAATCGGACACAGATCATGATCTTCCACCAGATGTGGCTGCAGTTGTCAAGAGGATCTTGGCTTCTTCCAAGGCTGGCATGCAGCAGTGACTCCACTGAAACGAGTCTGTATAGGTGGAAGAAGAACGACATAAGGACCTACTGGTACATGCATATATACAGTGCCTTTGTACAACCCCCGCATCCTGGCACAGGGAATTGTTAATAGAAGAATAATCACAGGAACGACTTCATGCAGTATACCGTTCTTTCGATTCTGTCAACCACCGGTCTACTATAGTTGGACAGGGGGCTCTTGTAGCCAGGAGATGGTGGAGATTTGGACAACCATTGGCAGCTAGTTCCGACCCTTCACACAGATTTTTCCAGTCTTACTTATGCTGGCTCCAGCGGGCTTCCTTCCTACTCCTATTAGCTAGTGATAATGCTTAGAGCACTACTACTTCTCTTTTCCAATCAACGCGCTCGGGAACCAAAGAATGCCATCCTCAATTGGTGTCCAACATACTATTCTCAGCCTCATTCTGGGTGCCTGGTGCTTCCAGTTTGGACTGACGCTATGGTACTGTGTGGAAGACAAATCACCATCCGTATATACATAAAAGAACACTAATAGTTTGGATTGTTAGACAACTTGGTTCCTTAGAAGCAGGCACAATCGTTCACATGCAAAGCCACATCCAACTTGGGCCACCCACCCTGTCAACCTTGCTGGCTGCAACGACCACCTCTTAGATCCCACTTTTGGAACAAATAGAGCAAAGATCGCCCAGGACTCTCGCTCGTTGCCACAAAGGTGTTCCATCTCTTTGAACATTGAGTCATCGAAGCAACCCTGCTCACACACATCCCAACCACCAAATCACCTCATTGAAGAAGTGGTCAGTCAACCATATTGGAAATTCCCTCTAAACTCAATTCTCAGAAGCTGAAAAAAATTGCATCATGTTCAAAACACCAACTAACTGGCTGTAGATAGATAGATTGGACCATACATGGTTTCTTCACCAAGTGCAATGTTCTCCACAGGCAGCCTCCTCGGCAGCTTCCAGGCTGTCACTACTACCGTACAAGCCCCTGGGGCAAAAGCTTGAAGTTGCGCCTGGACTACTGTTTGGTCCGCTGCTTGGCATAAAGCTTGGACCTTGAACTGCCTGCCTGCTCCCTTTGGTTGGACATGTTGTGTTGTGCTTGGTGAAAAGCTTGGACTGCTTGACGGTGCTGCATTATGTTGGGACTGTTGGAAGACTGCTTGGACTGCTCTCACTTGGATTGGAAGATGGGGAACTGCATGGACTCTTGGGCTGGTTTTGGGGGAGCTTCTTGATGGGACGTCAGAACAAGGAACATACTGGGCGGCATTCAGCATGTACCAGTGGATGCATCCTTGGCAAAGATCTCCTTGCTTCGTATATATAGCCCAAGATAAGGAAACAACGTGCGTACGGTAGCTACTATGCTGCTCCAGCAAGCAAGGAAACAATGTATGTGAGAGTGCTACGGTACTACCGCTGGTCCGCATACATAGCAAGCAAAGTTGTACAGTACCGTAGTCTACAAGACCGGACCATGGCTGGATCCATTATGCCAGCGAAGCAAGTGTTTGTGCATCGCGAGTGCACTCTCTGATGTACAGCTTCTCTAGCTTGTACTGACCGGTAATGTGTGTGATTCCCTCTGTGCCAAGCAACATTCGAAATGGCCACCATTCTTGCAGGCGAGGAGAGGCCGACGTCTCATTCCAGCTGTGTCAACCTTCGAACTTAATGGCTAAAGAGGCGAACGACCGACCCTAGCTGGCAGTGGCACAGTCAATAGAGCAACCAGTTTGACTACGTGTAGTATGTAAGGAAGTCATGTATGTAAAGTAAATGATGTCTATAGCTATTAATAGTATTCTTTTTCTACCGGTATGTACATGCATGCATGGTTGGTGCATATAGATCCCCTTCGTTTCTTGCTTGACTGACTTATTATTAATCTTGGGGCAATGCTTCCAGCAGACTGGCAATATCGTCACTGTTGTCTTGACTAGCATTGTTCGTTGCCGTGTGTTGGTCCAAACCCAAACAAGTCTGTTTGGAAACAAGACTCTTTTGGCGTTTGGGCAATGCAGGCAATTCGAGCGAAGTGCGTGGCTTGGGTTGTTCTTGGAATCGTTCCAAGGATTCAATGCGTTCCAAGCGGGGCATGGGCACTAGCAACAAGCTGTTATTCGACTGTTGCGTATTTTGCAGACGCATTTGAATGATGCGATTGGCCGACGCATAGTTCAAGTCGTCCAGGAGCAATAGTTCCGACACGACCGAAGCCGCCGAGACTTCCAAAGACGACGACTTGGTGGATCGACGCGTGGGACGTCGAAGACCTCCGGACGATGAGTTGACCGTGAGCGAGGACTTGCGACGACGGGGAAGACGAGGCACGTTCCAGCGGGTGTTGGGTTCGGGCGTGTTACCGGCATTGCCGTTACCAACCGATTCCTCGCCCCACATGCTGCGGCTCGAATCGCCCATGAACGACGCGCAAAACGTAATCATCGAGTCTTCCGAAATCTCTTCGTGGGTAGAATCCACAATGATGCAAGGAAAGTTGTCTTCAAACGAGTTCGTCATGGTGGGATATTACTAGTATGATGGTACCGTAGTAGCTAATAAAAAGCTTTGCAAGGCTTTCCAGTTTGGATTTTGTGAGCAAATTGGTGAGTAAGGAATGTTATTGCTCTGCTGAGTAGTTTTCAAAAGCTACCCTTGGCAACCTTGCTAGATAGATGGTACCTTTACTAGCTAGCTATGCACTCATGGTACCAATTCCACGAATTTCAGAATGGGTGTGTGATCCTATGCTGGGATCGATCGGGACCTCACTTGGTTGCGAAATTGATGGAGTGATAACGTAAGAGAGCACCTCAAATAGAAACGCTTCAATGTTAATCTTGTCCACTAACTCAGCTGGACACCCTTCGACAACACCGTTTAATTGTCGAAAATATCGTGGAAGATGCGGGATCGGACGGTGAAGGTCCTCCACATGTCTAAGAGTGATCTCACTGTAAAGGTTTTAGTAGATGTTCAACGAAAATGAAGAGAATGTCTCGCCAGGTAAAGGGGAAGGAGCTGGAGGGAAAGTGCACAAGGGGCTCTAGCTTTTACTCATTATCCATTGACGATGTGGAGTTCATAAAGCACAGAAGGCCGACGCCTAAATAGCCCTGCAGAACAGTAAAAAACGGGATCAGGGATCCTGAGAGATCATTAAAGAGCTACTATGCTGATTACGTATACTACTGTAGGAACGAACAGTGGGCTTTTCGAGGCAATGGATTGAGTTGACGAGTCCGAACAGTGCTCAGAAAGTGATCCTCTTCTGTAATCCCAAGAGTTCCAACTTAGAATTAGGAGGTGTTGAAGGTATGCTTAACAATTGCTTCTCCGTGGAGCCGTACATTTCTCTGTTTCTTTTACGATGCTCTTGGAAAAATCTTTGGGACCAAGCTGCACTTGCTACTGCGCTGCAGGACTATTACAGCTACTACATGTAGACTACATACATGTATTACAGCAGCTACGGAGCTACGGCAGTCTGCGTGGTAGGCAACACACGCAGTACCGAAAATCGGATGCTGCCACACCGATCATCAAGAGAAGACTTATTAGTGGCTTATGGTACAGATTCATCTCATTCCCCTTCAAATACTTTTCGTCGAGTTGGGCTGCTTTTCCGTGAACATGTTGACGCGAAGCTACGCGACTCCACCCTTTCACCACAATCCCGTTTTCATAGCAGTGGTTCAGCTACCGGTATGGATGCTTTGCCTATTAATACACCAGCAGCTGCCTGCCACTGTTGCTACGTTGCTACTGTACTAGCTAGCTACTAAATAGTAGCCAGTACTTCCAATGCTCCAAAACCCACAGAAAAGAAGAAGCAATCGAACAAAATTAATTGTGCAATTGTGAACCTTCAGAAATCGGCAATACGGTACAAAGCCTCCAGTCAAAGCAATGCCGTGCCGGGACCAAACATCACTTGGTACTTGGTAGAACAAAGACAACGAAGCACTGATTGATTGACAGAAACTTCAGCCATCGATCATCCGAAAGCAGAAAACAGAGGTGATGCAAGCCATGCATCACTCCGCCATCAATGCAGTACAGAACTGCAAATGAATGCAGTGCCGTCTCGGCTGGAACTTCAGCCTACCGGTAGTCTACTGGAAACTTTTTGCTCCTTCTTGTCGAGCACCACGGTCCCGTTTGCTACTCCTCATTTTCAGCCATTGCCAATAGCTGGCCTCAAAAATTGTTATTGATGCTTGCTTGCTCTTCACTGGCTCTTATTACGGTTCCAATATCATCTTCCTCCAGCCAGGGCGAAATAAGCAAACAAAGCAACCACTGGGAGCAAGCCAGATGTCCAGACCAAGAACTGGAAGGCTGTAGCAGCCAATTGTGCTTGCATCCGATCCTGGATCTGCCCCTCAAGTGATCTACTGGTGGCTGCAAACGTGTGTGCGTGATCGTGGAACCTCGTTGTTGGTGGGTCTGCTATTCGGCTGCCCGAGTACACACAGCACATACTACACAAGCAACTTCGGAAATCAGATCGAAAAGTGCTGCTTTGCTGGGACCAGACCACAGTTGTTTGGATCGGACTGGCCCACGGCGTCTATCTGATCGTGCTGTTTCCGCTTCGATCCTCGATGGTTGCTTATGGCTGAGTCCTCTGATCAAGCAAGACAAGCGAGCGAGCGACTGGCTGCGAGGAGCCAATGAAGAGCTTGTGAGCGATCCTTCAAAGAACAGAACGTGGCGGCACCGGGCTTCCAGTCAACTACATCTTCTTCTATCATGGTTGACGTCTATTCGTATGTGCTGCAACTCGTTCGCTTGGTGATGAAAGGAACAAAGTCCTGTCCGGGTGGAGACGACGAGGCATCACAAGGACACAACAGCGGGCGTTCCACTCTCAGTTGGGAATAAGTGGGACTGCAAATTCCTTCGAGCCAGCCACTCCCGATAAAATCTGAAGTCACACATAGATGATACTCAACTCACCCCGGTGTTGCGAGGGGTGGAGTGGATTCGAGTCACTCGAGACTAGTAGCGGTGGCGAAGGAACCACTCGTGGAATGCTACCGCTATGTTTGGAGTAACAATCTGATTACTAGCTAGGTGGTTCTGCAGCCCAAGGTGATTCTTCGTTTGACGCCACTGGGTAACTAAGGATGCGAATGCTTGCTGGCGGCAGTGTGGCTGGAAAGAACAGTGGCTGTCTAAAAAGTCATACTTGAATTATTATGGGAGGTGTAAATTTGGTTGGCTTGGTGTGGAATGGTATGGAGTTGCGGAGTTGCTACCTGAGATATGTCATCCATGATACATGCTCTACTTTTCTAGAGCATGGTTCTGCTTTTGGTGAACAACCACAGCAGAAATCCCCAAGACAAAAACTAATGAGAGGGTCGCCATGGTGAGACCTGCCACAATCATGGTTTCATACTTTTGTGAAAATTCAGCTTCACCGTCATTACCACTGCCACTTTGATTCTCCAACTCTGATTTCATAGCCGAGACCTTTGCCTTTAGTTGCAAGACTTTGGCTTGGAGATCTTCCAGTTCTTCAATGTTGTGCTCTCGTTCCACCGCTGGGAAGTTTCTCCTGTTTGATGATAGCACATAGGTTCCTGTACCAACAATGGGATCAGGCCTGTCTTCGAAAGTCCATATTGGGTCTTCAGGAGCCATGTTGGAGCTCTCCAACAGTTCAATCCCCTTCATGCCCAACTTCAAGGCTGCATCATCTGCCAAGAAGAAGCTATAGTCAGATTGACATGGAGACACAAAGCTGGGATCATACATTGCCTTCAAAAAGGCAATCAAAAGTGCCCTTTCCACAGGATTTGTCTTGAAGGAGAGGTCAGTACGGACATAAATGTAGGTCAGAATAGTTATGGGCCATGTGTATTCCCCTTGCTGATCCAACAGCGAAACTCTGCTGAAATCAGCAGTCGGTTCTGAAGGCAAGACCCCAGATTCTTTGACTCCAATGCCACCATTTGCAGCAGCAATTTGTGATGTCAACAAGCGACCGTACTTGTTCTTGATGGCAATCTCCTGCAATCCTTCAAAGAGACCTATGCCAGCTTCATTATAGCCGATGGTTCCGTCAACGTCAGAGATGCAATCATTCATGCCTAGAGTACCCCGACAAGCTTCTGTATCAATGGGCCATTCTGGGAGAGGCCCTACCATGTGAGCAGGAAAGTGCTGGGGACAGGAAAGCCGTAAGTACTGCAACATTGGGAGAAATAGGTGTGTAAGTTTAAGCATAATCATTGGAATTGGTGCAATGTGCTTTGATGAATGAAGGAATGAGTTTACCTGAGTAATAGCATCGGTGCCAGCACTGCCCTCCTCACGACGAGCCACACGGATGCGCAACGTCTTTCCCAAACTATTGGCATTGTGGCTGATGCTGGAGAACAACTTGTCAAGACCAGGATTGATTTCACGGATATCTGGGTGGGCCCAATCCTTAATTTCACGCATGAAGATTCGCGCCAACAAGCAAGAGGTCAGCTTTAGGCTGGGCATGTCTGGTACAGAGTGGAAGAAGGTCACAGCACCAAAAAGAGTGGGTAGATGCAATACTGTCACATTGGCATCTTGGAATCCCTGCCACTGTTCCTCTGACAAGGGGATCTCTCCAGATCCAAAATCATCCGCAGAGCGAAGGGGGTTGAACTCATTCACAAACTCTTCCAGACCAATGGAAGACCCAACAGAACGGTAAGTCATTCGCAATGGTATCTTGGAGCGGGCCTGCATTTCTTCCATGACAGAACCATAGCAGCGAGAGGGGTTAGCAGTTCCAGAGCCATGGACCTCCAAGGCAGCGACTAGGAAACCATGGAAGGGTAGCAGCAGTGGGAGATAGGAAAGAAGGTTGGAGGGCATGGTGTTGCGAAGCCTATTGAGAGACGAAGGGTTATCAAATAATGAGTTCTAGCTAGTAGCGGCAAGTGAGGTTGGTGGTTGACGTTTTCTTTTGGAAAGTGAGAATGCGAGCTCGAAGAAGCTTTCTACCAACAGGAAACGCAATGGTTAAATCTGGATCAGAATGACTCTGACGTCGTCGCGAAGTTCAACAAAAGTTCGAAAAGGCGTTAGAGGTCCTCCAAGAATCAAGAGTCGATGTCATAGAATAATGACTGTTGCTTCAACTTTCATATAATAGCCCCAGATGACGCAAACAGGAACTATTAATAAAATAAAATAACAGGTGCTCTCTTTCTTCTTTCTTCGAGCATGTACATGAGCTTGTACATGTATGTCTCGAATCTCGAAGGCCCCTTGTAGCCAGACGATATCCCCACTGCATGCCTACAATAGTGGAAGCACCGGTCTCTTTCCAACTTCTCTCACTGAGAATCCATCACTGCGCTTGCTTACTTGCGTACTTGCTTTTTAAAATTGCGAACCAATGATCCCTCTCCTTCTGAAGTTGAGAGCACACCATTAGCAATGAGACCAGCCACGAAACCATGATGTGGAAACTGTACATTTTAGGAACACGTAAGATTGTAGCCTGCCTGCAGGGGTCAAAACGTGGTCAAATCCCTTCAGCTTCTCCTGTAGTAGCTGTGAATGTCTGGATCTTAGTTGCCGAAGGATTGTGCCGAAGGATGCGCATCAACCGCCCTGGGAACATACCAGGTAGTCTGCAGCGATCAAAGCGTGGTCAAATCCCTTCTCCTGCTACATATTATATAGATTGGCTTGTTTCCCGCTGTAGCTCGGTCGATTGAATGTCTGCATCTTACATGTAGTTGCCGCTGGACCCCACCAGAAAAGCAGAAGTCGAGTAAAATTAATTGTTAGTTCTTGAAATGACTCTTGAACTTGTCGAGAAACACGCACATTACGTTGTAGGAGAGGAACGGAGAATTGCACACCACAAAGTCAACGTCAGATGCAATGCACTTCTTCATTACTGTACTGGTGTGCCGGTAGCACTCGCGTGCCTTTCCCACCTCGGCACTCCTGCCCAAGTGACCACAGAGGTAAAAGGAAACCTTGCTTGCTCCTGATGACCACGGGTGCAGGACTCTAGACTCGCTGCCTGGCTAGCAAGACCGGGCGAAAAGACTGATGGTGTTGCCGCATCTCATGCGAGCCAAGGTTCCATCACTACAACAGCCTTTGCTCCTGGTAACGTCACTGGTTGATCCAAAGAAGCCCGTAACTTCAGAAGAGATGCATCTTGTAGAGTATCAAAACGTCCCGCAGCCAGTCAGCCAGCCACACATCGAAACTCGCTCGATAGGAGCCACGATCAACCCAACCCAGCCAGCAATTTCTTCTACGTGACGTCTGCTCCTTTGCGGAGAGAACATTTGCTCATTTCGCTTCCGTGAAGTTGCCCTCCGGTTTGAACGTCTCAACCCCTACAGTGTACGCAGGCAGGCAGACCTTCAAAAACCAAAGCATGCGCCAGTTGCGAAGTGCTCTACACTGGTATTCAAGGCCTACTGGCTAGCTAGCTAGAGATTGAAGGACGGGAGTACTTGAAGATGATCCGGGTGAACCGAGACTGTCCTCCCCCGGTACGATGGACTTGGAGTCTTTCCTTTGCACATGCGTTAAAAACAAACGCAAGAACATTGTTGCAGCCAGTCAGGCCCAACCAGTTTCCACTTGCTTGCGTATCCTGCGGCTGGAAGAACGCACATCGAGGCTGGCTGCGTTCGTGCTCTCGTGGTCATGGACTTCGCTTTCTGCGATCACAAGATTAGTAAAGATCTCCGGGCTACTCCTCAGGCTACCGATGTGGTATGTGCATCTCGGTCCATTGATCCATCCGCCCCTGGATCTAGCTAGGAAGAAGACGCTTGCTTGTCACCATGAGCCCTTGGGCTCTTGCACCGCCGCAATGCCACCAAGACTTGGCAGGCAATTTAAGGCTCGTTGATGTGGTCAAAGGCAATTGACTGATTGCCTACGCGTACACGGCAATAAATCATTGCCGCAGGAACCTCCCGACAGATCGTGCGGTCCGTTTATCCACAATCCTTCCTTTTGCTCTCCAGGACACTTTGTATCGCAATATATGCCGCTACTATGCTGGCTGTCTTGTCAGCAGCCAAGATAAACGAACCATTCAAGTTTCATGATAACGTGACATCTATCTGAACCTATCACATCATGCTTCCATTGCTTCCTAAGTGCAACAGGCAGGTTTGTGCTGGCTAACTACCACCTGCTCAAACAAAAAAAGGACTAAGATTTGCGTAAGCGGGAGAATATGAGTCATAGAGTCAATGGCAAAGTGCAGAACTATTGCCTTGCTCCCTTAATTCGATTTGGTCGCGGAACTTTCCCCCGCCCAGCGAAGTCAAAGGCTGTCATAACGCAATATCTACTGTCAACCAGCAAACCAGACCAAACCGCAAAGTGGTACTAGTACCACATCCTTGCCAGGTGGCGGGATCATCAGCAAATAATTCACATACTGTAGCTACTGGCTAGAAATTCGAGCTGGCAGCCAGCTAGGTTTTCCATTGATTCGATTCCCACCGCCACAAACTTGGAGACGGCTGCCGATAGTACGTTCATCATTTTCTGTCTACAAAATTGTTGTCAAAGATTCGCAATGATGGATCCTCCTTCACCCACTGACCGCCCTGGAGCTTTCATTACCCCTTCCCCTGCACTCACGGACATGCTTTGGAATGCTCGAATGGCCGGTAGTAGTGAATGCACCAAGGTCAACATCACTGTGGAGAGGCTGTTTAAAGGAGAAACAAGTGGTGGCATCCAAGCTGTCCTCACAAGGACCTTGGAGGAAGTATCCAAATTGATCTCGGAGATGGAGACTGAGATTTCAGATGTTCCCCTTCCTGGAATGTCGCAGGAAACCATGGAGGAGGACAAGTCCACTGCTGAAGGCTCCCACACGCATAGTAGCTCAGTTGTGAGGCCCGAGGAGGAGAAGCGAGCAGCAGATTGAACCGCTCGGGTGTCTTTACCCATTTGGCGCCACTTTGCAGCCACGAAAGACATTCCCTGCACACGAAGCAAGAGCCAAACGATAATCACACTAACACGTCAACTCAATATCATCTTGTCAAACAAGTTGAACGAACCGCTTGTTACGAATTAGTTGCAGAGATGCATGGCTGACCTCCTCTTGCTGAGTCCCTGCATCTCGGTATACTGTATATATAGTGCAGACGTTTGGCACCCACTATCCTGCCAGTATGAACCCCGTATCCATCTTAGTCGTTCTGCCTCTACGGATGCTTTGCCTCCCATCGACTCTCCTACACTTCTCCCCCCGGCCGAGGAACGAGGCGGTCTCCTTATCTGTGGCCTCTGGCAACATGGAACTGACGGCATAATTGATGTTCATGTCATCAATCTTGATGCTGCTTCTCATAGTTGCAAAGATCCGCACAAGGTCCTTCGCAATGGCCAATGCGATAAGAAAAGCAAACATCTCCAAGCCTGTCTCTCTCAACGCCCCCACTTTACTCTGTTTGTCGTCTCTGATGATGGTCTCCTTGGTGCCGAAGCAGAGGCACTCGCCAAACGATCCTCCTCTTTGCTCGCTGCAAGGTGGTCCCTCCCTTACTCGGTGGTGCATGGCTGCGTTAATGCTCGGCTCAGCATGGCTATTCTTTGTCCGCCACATTTGCATGCGTGGCTCTCATGTCCCTGCTGGCACAATGAGCTACCGCCGTTCCCTCTGGGATGCCGATAGCGCGCTTGCCCTCTTCTGCTAATCTTGCCCCCTCTTACTCCCTCCCGGCTTCCCCTCTACTTCCCCTCGCACCCCCCCTGCCCCCTTTGCCCTGTTCCCCTCCTCTCTGCTCTCCCTGTTATCTGTTATTCTCCACCACTGATGCCCTGCTCTGCCAAGCTTAGCCCCCTCCTTACACCATCTATTGACATTCGATTCCTTGCCTGGTTTGTTGATTGTATTCCAACCGGCATCCAAGTATGCACACAATAGACAACATGTAACTACCCGTCGTGGCCTGCGAACTGAGAATCACCGTAAACCGGATTCCGTACGATGGAGCCAGAGGCCACGAAGCCGGGCATCGCAAGCTCAACGGGCGGTGGTGTCCAACGCTGCACAGGCAGATCAAAAGCCTTACTTTGGCAACTGTCTGGATGTACCAAAACGGTTTCCACACGAGGGCCACAGCTAGCCGGCGCATCATCAGTCAAGCCAAAGGGAAAGGAACAGGTGGCAGATAGATATGGTCGGTTGAATTAGTTACCTGCAGAGAACATTTGACGCCCTCAACGGACTGAGGGACTACATCACACTTTTAATCGCTGTAGTTGTGTGTGTGTGATGTGTGTTGTGTGTGTGATTGTGTGTTGTCAGTGTTTTGTGTGTTCTGTGTGATTTGTTGGCAGCTCGTTCTTCCGTCGCATCGTTACTGTGGCAGGGATAGGGAGGGATAATTTGTGTGTTCTGTCTGTTATCACCCCAACAGTAGTTTCTACGCATGGGTTACTAGTACTGGCTGGCTATGCAGATCGCTAGTGTGTCCAGATTAACACAGGTGGAGGTTTGGCCAAAGACATCAGGGACATTTTGCTTGTTAAGGATAGGGATTTATATTGTGTGTTCTGTTGGACACAGTTACTCTGGACCCATGGGTACTGATATCACTGTGCCCGTACTGGCTTGCTAATGAGACTTGCTATAAATAGTGTGTCCAGTTGAAAACGGTAAATGATTTGACGGGCAATCAAAGGATAAATCAAAAATCTCCTTTTGACAGTTGAGGGCATCAGCATCCGGCTGCTTGTTCTTCTCATGGAGCGGCGGAGTAACCGTGCGCGAGAATGTATGTCGCGAGATTCTAGGCCCACTTGTGTGGCTCGGAGTGACTCTCCTGAGCACCACTACCCGGTGTCAAGGTCAGGAGTACCGCGCCGCAACCTGCGCACCCCAAGCCGCACCCACCCTCAACACGCCTCAAGATCACGGACCCAATCACTTTTAATACATAACAAAAACATACTTGCAGATCCGTGCGTCTGACGCCTACCAGCGGAACAACTTGCCTGGGTCCGGGCTCACTTTTGATAAGTGAATAGGATGGTGGGTATATGAACATGCACCTTGCCGCTTTGTTGGGATGCTGGTGAAGAAGACAGGGTGCCTCTGGACCCGCTGCTCGCGTGAGGCTTTGTTTGCCGGCCGTCGCTGGTCCATCCCCAACTCAAAATCAAGGAAATCTTGCCGGATTCACAGGAGAGATGCTTTGGTACCAAGTAAAATCTGAAAGATGGGGCTACTCGTCGATGGGGCTAGACTTGTCCCGTGCATACACCACTTGAAAAAGACCCCCGTTCTCAATCCGGAAGTCACCCTTTGGTATCTCTTCGCCCAGTGACCAAACAAGGCGCCACCCACCCGGGCACCACACGCTGGTCCTTCTCCGAGCGAGTGGCGTAACCAGTTCTCTTCGGTATTGGCGAAGCAAAAGCAAATTAGCTTTGAAATTTATTCGAACTTGATTTGAAAGTTTTCCACCAATGACAATACCGAGCGTAGAAGCCGGCCCGAACAACGATGTCGTGTCTGGTTCTCGATGTTGGAGGTGATGCGCATTTGCTGGTTCGCAGTGCAATGCTTTGCGCCATTTGACCGTTACTCTCTTGAACACTATCGCTGAACTGCAATACGTTCCAGTCTCTCAGCATCCGGCAGCTTGACCGGTCGGGTCTTCTGACAACTCACATGGTTCTAGTTTCTTTTGGGTCTGTGGAGTCACCACCACAGCCCCAACCCTTCCACGCGCCCCCCCGACCCCCGCCCACTAATTTAAACAAAAGGACAACCCGTCCCTCCCAGCTACCCATACTGACCCACTGTGTTGATCAAACCCCCCCGGTCAGCTATCCCCGAGCTCACCCATCTCTCTGAAGCCCACAAATCAATCCCCCCCCACCCCCCACTCGACACATGACAGCACGCATGCGGCTCCGATTTTTAAGGAAGCACAAAACAGCAGTGGTCCTTGCCCCGTTCCCTGGCCTCACACCCACCCACAGTCAGACCGCGTCGACTTTTAAAGGGATGGACACGAAAGTGTGACATTGTCACTCCAGCCAAGCCAAAAGGAACAAACCACGCCGTCTCCTGCACGAACTGGATG